TCTTAACCCGCAGTGCAAATTTATACGTTCGTCCGTAATAATACGTCGGATTAGGAATGTGTCAAACGAATATTTTATGTTCCATTTAAATGATGGTTGTTGCAATAGGGGTTTTTTTTTGCTATCATTATTTTGTCCGATTAACAACCGTTGTGTCATGTACTCCTGTTGGTTTTATTTTAGTATGCATTTTGTCCTGAGTACGATTTTATTTTGTGAGCGATGACAAAAAACGGACGAGACATTGTGCAACCTTGTTCTACTTTAAATTGCTGTCCTCAATTTCGATTAAATAATATTATTCTGTAAACTATGACTAGTACGGACGAGACGTACTACGCAATATTGTTCTACTTTATCTCCTCAGCGATTTCGGTACAGCAAGTCATGCGTAGGAAGACACCACGTCCGTCGGAGAGCGTGAGTCAGTCGTCGTCGTATCGAAGAGTCTTGCAGAACGACCGTACGGTTTTTGTTTGTACAATCAAGTTTAGTATTGGCAGCAACGGTCGATCACTCAATTAGTTGCGGTGTCGCACGACGATACGGCTCACAGCCAATCGTTGTTGAATTACTATGCGACGGAATAAAATAAAATGCTCCCGTTCACTGATATCAGTCAATTAACGTTAAATGTCGTTTAGAGTAAGTACCAAAACGGTCACAAGTATGACGATTCCCACTCATTTAGATACGAGCGACGTTTCTCTACGTCTCCGCGAACACTTATCATAGGGCCGTTTTGAGGTCTGGTGGCGCCCTTGGATACCACCCCCCCCCACCCATGGGAAATTTACAAATATTCATTTGAGATATATCAAGCATGTATAAAAACATACAATACAAGGTAATAATTACTAATAAACTTTAATAACTATTTGTATTACTTTAAAATATAAACAATCAGTACATTATAAACAACATATAATTTTCTTCAAATGTTTTTAAATGATTTTAAATTGATTTTAATACAATATTACAATGGGACTTTTCTTGCTTTTACAGAAGCAAATTTATCAATGACATTATCAAATGAAATTGTTTTAATACATCTTTTTCATATTTCGTGAAAAATATTACATAAGTAGTGTTGGTTTGCGCCCCTCTCAGAATTGCATCCCTTGCCACACTCCCTCTTGCCCTGAACTGAATACGGCCCTGGCTTATCACTTGATGTGTAATCTGTCCCTATGCACGGCTGCTGAAACAAGACCGTATTGAACTGTACAGACCGTAGTAATTGACGTAACGTCCCGTATACGTGCGCGTACGTATTTGATCTGACAGTTTCTGGTAGAGGAACGCGATCGATAACTGCTGCAACGTCGCGGACATGGCTCCGCGCTACCGCGACCGCTGCCCAATTAAGATTTCGTACAAATTCAGAACGGTGTAAAAGGATTTCGAAAAAAAAAATTAGTTTTGAAACCTTCGAGAAAAAATTATAACTGAAAACCGCTTTTCGTGTCGCCCGATTACGTTGCGCACAACCAACCGAAACTCGTGTTGCATCGCGGTTCAGAGATCTCGTTGAAACATTGGGTTTCACCGTGCAACACTATATTAGTAAGTCATGTCCAACATTGAGTTTTGAAAATTAAGTTAAATATGACGTGTTTAATTTTTGTTAACGTTTAGTCTTCAGGTGCTCGGTCGGTGAGTTTTATCGTGTATAATTTATGAACTATTTGTCGGTATTATTTATTTTTTTTTTATGTTAAGGTAACAACACCTGTTTTCAAGTGCAGATCGAAAATATAAGGATCTAAACACGCCGTAACATTGATCAAGGCGAAATGAATATTTTAGCCGTTGTTTTTTCGAACTTTTTTGACTTTTGTTTAAATCGATAGCATGACTAAATATTAATTTGGTGAATTCGGTGAATAATTCTTGTATTTTGTGTTTTTTTTTAATTTTTTCTAACTTTTTAGCTATTTTTTTTAATTATTCCATTTTAAAATAATTTATATTTCATAATTAACAGTTATCACCTTTGTTAAATACCTTATAATTTAAGATATTTCAAGGTTCTATACAGTATAATACTGGTTTTAATACAGGTATAATACGTTATTATACAAAAAATAAATAAAATACCGTATTTTAACATCTCTAAATATAATGGAACGGGTTGTGCGAACGTCGGCTGTCCATCGCCAACATAAATTTCCGATTACACTAGAAATGTACGGAATAAAATAACGTTTTTATCGCAACCGCAATGCTAGTCAGGAGAAGGCTCTCGAGACGGATGGAAAAAAGAAAACAATGAAATCATTGAATCGGAAAGAAAAAATTCTTCTCGTAACTCGTATATATGTATACGAACGTATGTCGGCGTATACACGTCGCACGCACACGCCCGCGCGCGGCCAGGGTATTAATGATTTTTGTTTCGGCATTTTTTTTATTTTTATTTTTCCTTTTCCTTCGTCTTCTTCTTCTTCTTCTTCTACTCGTACTGCTTTCCACGTATGCAGACAATAAACTATAATAGAACGTACAATAATAGTAACGCGTACAGATATATATATATATATATATTATTCAACTCCGACGCCACTTCCTTTGCTTTGTACGTTCGGGGTCGGGACGCGACGTACAAGGTACAACGTTTTTGTATTGTGCACGTACCTGCTGTTGCAACGACCGAATCGCGTGCGAGTGCGTGTGCGACCGATACGGCGGAGACTCCAACGCCCCTGTACAGGCGACCGGGTCTTTTTGTGTGTAATTTTTGCACGAAAAACGAAACGTGCGGTCCATTACGGGTCCGCGGGGAAGTCGTGAAAGAAAATATGAATACAGGACCGATCCTGCACGGGACGATAATATATTGTACACATATATACGCGTACGGTGCACAATGATGAGACGGTACACAATGTAACCACGCACAAGGAATGCGCTGTATACGCGATATAACACTATTAGCTGCGCACCCCGCAGGAGTCGCGTACAGCCGTGGGAAATCGAAAATATAATATATTATTTATATTTTCATACATATATATGTATGGTATAGGTACGTGTGTGGTGGACGGTAAAGAAAACAATTCATTTAATTTTTTAACTTTATTCATATATATTATGAACACAATTCCATATTATTATGATATAACAATGATCCATAAAATTTAACCATAACATGTTTAACATAATCGCACATAGTTTCCCTACTGTATTATATTTTATTATTATCATTACATAGATATTTTATATATATATATATATAATTATTGGAATTCTTTTTCCCCCTATTTTTTATTCTTTTTTTTTCTTCTCCTCGTAAGTCCCAAACGTGCGCACACGTCTCCCACCGCGAAATCATGCATGGTAATAATATATTGTGTAATATTGTATAAACAAAATAATATACACGCACAACCGATACGCAATAATATAAATGGACCGTTTTTTTTTTTATTTGTTTTTATATTTTAATCCGCTGAATAAAATTATTATCGATTTAATTCTCGTTCGGTTGTATATTATTTGTTGGGTATTCGCAACGCGGCGTGCTGTTTTGCCCGATAGCCCGCACTCGGTGTCTGTATAGTATACGTACGTAAATCGCGTGCATGTGTGTGAGTGTAAATACAAGTGAATATTATGTATGTATGAGTGTTAATCTAAATATTAGTGGCAATACGTTTGTAACCTACGGAAAAAAAATAAAGAAAAAAGCCATGTACATAACGACACTATTAAAACTATATAACTATATTTATACATACATACATACATACATACATATATATATATATTATGTATGTACATATATTTTTAATAATCATATCGGTACGATAAAAAAAGATACTATATTCGTAAAGGTGGATAAGTTATGAAATCAAAAAAAAAAAAAAAAATTAGAAAAAATTATACCAAACGCGCACAAGTTGTACGTTTCTTTCGCTTTTCTTTCGTTTTATACATGAAACGAGAATATAGGTGAAAAAAAAAATATATATAAATAAAAATGCCGAGCGACGGAAAAACAATATTACAATCGAATATGAATCTGTATATTATAATTGGTATTATTGAATAATAACGAAGTCCGGGAATTGTTTTACGTGAGAAAAAATTATTATATAGTAGTAGGTATTGTATTGTATTATATCATCAATATATTATATAATTAATTATTTTTTTCTTTCATTAGGCTTTTCCATATATTGTACTAATTTATATAAGAAATATTTTTTAATAATTATATTGATTACAAAATCATTCTTAACATTCTGGTTCATGATATTAACAACGACCATCATCATTTTATGGTGTACGATTTTATGATTTTTTTTTTTCGTTTTTATTTTATATAAATAGATTGTGTTTCAAATGTCGTTTAATGAAAAACAGCAACAATTTTATAATCAGTATTAAAATTATAAGTTTTTTTTTCTTGTTAATTATGTACATAGTCCCTAAATTTCATAAACAAAAACGAATCTGCGCGTGTATAATATTTTATATTTTTAAAAGAAACGATTGTGTCTACGATTAATTTTCAATTTGTGTAGTTTTCAACGAGTTCCCCCGGTGCGTTGCAAACGTCCAAGTACATCTAGTGAACAATTTCGGTATGTATTATAGTTATATTAATAATAATAATCTTTACAGATTGTTAGAAAAAAATAAAATAAAATAAAAATATGCCGAAACGTAGGAAATATCAAATAATTCGTGAACGTTTCCTATCGTATAAAAAAAAAAAAAAGAAAAAACCCGATTTAGAATCGAAAACGTCTCCGAAAAACGTTCAATAATTTACGGCGAATCTCGGAGAGATATTATATTTTATATATATATTGTATTATACTTGTACATATTATGATAAATATTTATGTATCATTCGGATCAGATGGTATATTTTTCGCACGATTTAACAATCGCCGTAACAATATTAAAAATGAATTGTTCTTCGGCGTAGAAAATAGAAAATCACAAAAAAAAAAAAAAAAATAAAAATAAAAAATCGCGACCGACGAAATTATTATTTTTCACTTACCGATTAATTTTATATAATTATAAATATCTTAATACTAGGGTTTATGTATAACATTGTATAATAGGAACGCGGTTCGTTATATGATTCGAAGTCAAAAATACCCGTTCTTAATTACAACATTATACATAAATTGATTTCATGTGTCTTGCGCGTATTGGATTTCCAAACGTAGAATGGAAAAAAAAAATTTTACATTATAATATTATACTAATTAGAGTAGTATTCGACAAAATCGTTAAATATTCTAAAAAGTATTAAATTTAAGAAGACAATCAAAAACAGTAGTTATACATCGAATAATTTTTTTTTTTCGTAAATATATAGTATAGGAACTAATTTATGCGGGATAGGTAATTACTGTAGTCTGTCGCGCGGGATCAGTCCGGGTCCGGATTCGGCGTGTACGTGGTAAAATATTACAATAATATGATGCGTTTTGTCAACCGGACCTGACTTACGTTAGACTCTAGTCCGTCACGAAAACAACGCAAACATCGTAACGGTTGTTGTCAATGCGTTTCAATAATTGTTGTTCTTCGCGTTCGCCGCTTCCTGAATGAGTTCGATAGCCGTTTCGGTCTGGAAAAATTAAAAATCGAAATAAATAAAAATATATGTAAAAAGGGAAAACTGAACGTAATCGTACTTGATACACGCTAAATATTATCGTGAATAGTATTGGGATGCAAAAAAAAAAAAAATTAAAAATGCACGCATATATAACTCGAGAACATGAAAATACTAAAATATTACCAAAAAATCGTTAATAAATGTTAATGCAACATTTAACTTCGAAATAATACATTTAAACATGGCATTCTAATTTTCGTCTTATCCAATAATTATTATCACAATTATTGTGATGACGTTTAAAAAAATTATACAAGATAAGTGAGTTGTTTTGTAACTTTATATTCTTGCTGTTCGTATCATCGTCTATGATTTTTTTTTTTTTAATTAAATTTTTGAAAAATATACTTGCAGAAATGCAATATAAAATAAGCAAAATTTTAACTAGCTTTTTTAATGGAAACGTGTACGTAAAGACTTCCTCTGACGAGGCGAACCGTAAGATCGTATTCGCAAATCTTGTCGATGCCTCCACAGTTTTCGTCAAAACGTACGATGAACCATGTGTGTGGAAAGTGCTCGAGAAAAACATCACGAACGTCGTTCGACTTGCAGCCCCAATTACAATACGGCGATGGCGAAAGCGTAATACGCGTAATACGCCATCGCCGGTACAATAAAATTACAGAAGCCTACTAACTTCCTCGTGCAAACGTTTGATCAGTCGGGCCCTGTCGGTTTTCAGCTTGTCGATCACGTCCGTCTGTTGTTTGGTCGGAAGCATGCCGTTGAACTCCAAAAGCGCCAGATGCGCGTCTTTCTCACTGATGGCTGACTCCAAGGCTTCTTGTCTGAAAACCACCGAAGTATTATAATATTACCAATGCGGAAAAACTGGTTTCAAATGCGCCGACGTGCGAGTGTACGTTTTCCGACAGAGAATCTCCAACATTACGATTGTAGTGACGATTACTACGTCGTGCAGGGCTTATTTTAATATTTCTTTTAGAAGTGCACAAAACTTAAAACTTAACCCCCTCACTATACTCTCAAAAATATTACTCCCTGTGTATGATTATAAACCACAATGTGGACAATATATAACAATATTGTGATAATAAAATAATAATAATAATAATAATAATAATAACAGTCTTAATAAACCTAATTTGATGATTGACGGACCTATAATCTGCAGTCGGCCATGAAGTCGATAACTACAATTTATTATTGTGAGAAATTTTATTTATAGATAGCATTTACAACTGCGCATTTTTAATTTAGAGTTACGCAAAATGTGTTCAAACGCACGTTTAAATAAACCCTGATATCGTGTAATATGTCTCGTTAGCCCGGCCGAACAACTCATGAGCGCGTACCCGGGCCCGGCCTCTTCGACTCGCACTAAGAGCATAACTGGAATCGGGTCGACCCCCCAGAGCTCTAGTACCTACTCATCAGTAGTGATCATATTTGAAGGGCTACGTGGGGAAAAACAATGATAGCTAATATTCCTAAACCATTTAGTATTGTAATTATAAAGTTTCAAAATTCAAAAATCTAAAATACCAAGTACGAAATAATTGAAAAAAAAATTGATCGTGGCAACGCAACTAATTTTTAATGAAATTAATAAAAAAAAGTAATTACATTAAATTTTTGAAACAAATGTCAAGATGATATAACTATCGGATATGTTTTTGATTATTATCGTTTTTCCCGTAGCCCTTCGTTTGCTATGCATTGGATGTATTATCGTAGTTCATTAATAGATATACACGATAGTACACAACTACAGATCGATGTAAGAACTGATTCGGATTCTACAAATATTAATATATCATTATAAGTATTTGGGGTTCAAGTTTAAGAATCTTGTTTGTAAAGTGCAAAAAAAATCATTAATCGAACGGCTGGGTTTAAATTTTTTCTCTTCGAAATATTAAATTACCGAAAGTATATATTGGTACTTCGTGTGGGTGTATACCACCCCTAACATGTTTTATCAAATATTTCATCACCATTGATATTTTTCACTGGTCATTTATGATATTTAGATTATTTTAAACGGGGTTTTTTTTTCGTTTCGCAGTCGTAAAATGTAGAAACTCAATGAGCAATAATTTAAGAAAAAAAGTGATCATCACGATGCAATATACTATTAGGGTAGATCATTGTGCAAAGAAAATATACGGTAAACAGTCAAAACCACGCAATTGGTAATCTTGACAAATGTAGCTCAAAACAATCCCTTACGTTGCACCTACCCATTAACTGCCTAACTCAATCGAATTGGGAAATCTGCTAAAATAATAATGCGTACACATTATGTACTCATTTGAGACGTCGAATGTGTGGGAATGATATTTTACGTAATTTCATTCGAAATCTATTTGTTTGTATTACCGTTTTCCATGTACATAGTCAAACGGGACGTTATAATATACGTATTCGAACCGTTAAGAGTAACGATTCATTTAATTTTCGCGAAAGAAAATTGTTTCCATCGAACCAGTACCAGTACTTATTATGCTCAAAGTACACAAGAATTGAACGAAATCGATTGAACAGTTATTAAACGCAAACAAAGTATTATTAAAAAGCGATTGTTAAATCCAGAAAAACGGATTCAGAATCATGTCTCGCATAGCACTGTACGCGTCGACAAGACTACAACAAGACGTCTATTCGTATTTCGTAACATAGTAAAACAGCAGTAAAACAGAGTGTACACCCAAAAAGTAATTATGGTACAATATTTTCCCCGAACAATAGTCCATCGAATAAAACAATTTTGTACTGAAATAATCGGGCTGGCGACTGAGCCTTTCGAACTAAGTGACAGACACAACATCGGTGACGTTGCCGGCGTCCGTGATGATGTGGCGAAAAGTTTGAGAATCACTAGCCTAGGAACCTTAGACCCGATGTTCCGTAAGAATTAATACCTACCCTCGGTTCTAACGTCGATTCACGATTCGAACGGATACTATTTTAAACGATATCGGACGCTAACCGACCGCGGGCGACCCATACATTCCGGGTGTTTTATTTTTTTTTACATCGGATTCCGGGCGGGGTTAGGTTTTTTTTCTCACACAATCGGATTTCAGGTTTGTTCGGCCGCAAAGCGCGTACATCATTCGTGGTCGTGTCGAATTCTCGAAATACCGGACAGCCACTCGAAAACACGTGGCGTACCCGGACGGGGTTGTAGGAGACGAGTATTTCTTTGCGCAAGAAAGGGGATCGAAAATAATAACCGTACGTGTCGAACGGAATGCGGAGACAATAGTATTCGGTAGGGATGGAAATATGTTCCATTAGCGCTCGGTAAACAATGATCGCGGCAGCAGATATCATAATACATATCGAAGTGTATAATTGTGTACAGCCGCAAGTACGCGTAGGGACATTAGACATGTAGCGTATAATAAGCAAACAGGCGAGTCGAACGCGGCAACGGAAAACGAACAACGAAACGTTGTCGCGGTGTTTTCACAACTTGCACACTCGTACGAAATACGGTCTCGGCTCCGAAGTATGTGCCGTCAAATCGTGAAACGTTGAAATTGTGTTTCACCGGAGCACACGCAGCATTGACCCGCAGGAAATCGCAAAGTCCGCGACTGAAATTAACAACATATAACGGCTATTATCGTTTTTCGGAGCGTGTACGGAAGTGACCGCGTTAAATAATTTCTCGTTAAATATTCTTTACGTTTTTGCCGTGCTTCTCTTTCGTAACATCGTATTGCTTGAGCAACACTTGATGCGTTCGAGCTACGGAAGAGGCGAGAGAACATAAATTGATTTCGAAAACTGTTCAAGGAGAACAAAAACATTACGAGGTTACTTACTTGATGCACGGGACTAGGCTTACTTTCGACTAGGAGGGAAAAACAGATCGAAAACATGAACGGAAAAAATAAGACTGTATTGAGTATACAAATAGAGCGAACTACGTTGTGCAACGTTTCCTCGTTTCCTACATTGATGATCAACAAACAGATGGATTTACCGCACATAGGTATCATGAAGTGTAACCTGTGCACAACGGTCGCGACCGGTCGGTTGGTCGAGAGAAGAAATCAGTACGCATCCGGGTTTATACATTTTTTCGAATCGTTATTATAGAATTTCAAACGAAATTTGAACAAATCGTTTCAAAACTATTTTAATGTTATTCGACGAAAGGGCCGAGTGCTGAAAATCGACCGAGCTCATCGTTATTTGGGACTGCGTCGGAGAACGCTTTCTGTAACACACCTTTATGTGTCATAACTGTACGAAGGCGAGTGGTCGGCGGTGTACGTTATAAGTTATAGCACTCAATTGTCATGCGCCGCCGCACGTGATAGTCACCGACCAACAATGGAAGTGGAAGAGAAGGGGTCATGGTTAAATTCCCGACACTCCGTCATCCCGAATCAAACGTTTTGGTTTTTTCTTGTCTTTTTTTTTTTCCTATCACGATTCACAACTGATAAAGACGAAAACGTCAACGTCGGACACACAAACCAGGTACTATACCACGCTCGTGTACAACAATTTACGAATGGGCATAAGCGGTACCAAGGGTGACGAAGGCCTATCCGATCCCGGCTCCATGCAACAGTGTAATATTGTCGTCGAACCGAACGGTTTATTATACGATACACCGCGATCGTGTACCGTCGAAAAATATTTCGTACAGAAAAAAATAAAAAGGAACACCGGTCGAATGGTTAAGAATTATCGCTGCGACAGGATCTCACGATTTCTTATTTGGTAAGTTGCTGTAGTGGGATAAATTTGGTTACGACCATACATACGTCAGATAACGAAAAAGCAAGTGGTGTTAAGTACTGTTTTTATCTGTGAATTGAGAAAAAAAACACTGTCGGTTTAATGCAACATTTAAAAAAAACCAATATTCAAGTTTTTACGATTTCGACAAAAAATCGAAATAAATAAATTTTGTTTTGATTTCCTCCGAATCGTTTACAGCGATTGTTAAACGTGTAGCCCCGCGTAGTGGTTAGCGTTAATGCGATTTACTTATTGCATGGACCAACGGGATTCGATTGTTTACGTTGGCACTGGATATATCGCAACAACGGTACACCGCCGTCGCAGGACGCATGATTTAATTTTTAATTTAATTTTTTTTACGCATTCTTTTACGGCCGTTTTCGTCGATCAATAGTTCACCGCGGTCGGTCAGAGTGGTTACGTACGTGTTACCGTGCTCGTAACGACCGTGTTACAGTTCCGAGCGCAAGTCTCGATGTCGGATCACTCCTTACGGGTTGCCGCGGACTACACGTCGCGCGCAAAGACTAGTCTCGAAAAACCGATCGCTTTCGCGGAAAGACGAGAGGAAAGAAACTTCCGGTGATCCAGTCACGTTTCGAAACGAAATCCAGGATAAAATAAAAAACATATGACGGAGACCGGTGCACTGATATCATCAAGTCACATCGTTTACCGGTCGCTGGCTAAAATGTTATCTGAAACGTAAATTCCGGGGACGAGCGAATTACTACTCGCCCAGAAGAGTAGAGCGCGTCGTAAGAAACCCTGACGAACGGGTAAAAGATTTCACGGAAAAACGGTATCGGTACTTTGCCACCTACACCGTTGCACTGAATCCCATAGACGCAACTATGATTTTTAGCATCCCTGAGTTCAAATGTAGCACTCTTGTTTTTTTATTTTCAGATCTATATAATCTACAGTGATTACAATTGAATACCATTTTATTTTGTTTTCAGCAATTTCAGTGCCCACAATATTTAGGCTCTAGTTGCTCCCACGCTGAACCCGAAAACTGATGCAGCTGCCGTACCGTGCAAACGCGTTTGGCTGATCAATAACGATTACCTTCGACGCAGAGTTTCCGCTCCGGACTGCGGGTGCTGCGCGTGCAAAAGAATTGAAAAAGTCGATAAAAGTATATCTTTCGAGCCGGTGGAGAACTGCCCATCCCTCGATCGTAGGCACACGTCGTGGAATCGAAAACGCTCGTCGGTCATAACGATCAAGGCCTTAGCAAGGGGGGGATAGAGGACACTGCGCCGTGCGCAATTCCTGGGAGGGTGCAAAAATGAAAAAATTTCAATTTAATTGTTACTTATAACTTATTACTTACAAGTAAAAATAATATTATGTATTTATATATTCACTTATATAATTTATAAATATTATTATATAATATCTATGAATTTACTTATAACTATTATGTATATTTATATTTTTAATAAGTTATTGATTTAAGTAAAATTAACAAACGCTTACATAATTATAAGGAAAATGTATTATTTATATGCGTTTGTAAAAAATATTCAGTTTTTTTGTGAATTTTTTTATAAATTAAAATAATTAAGGCCGCATTTAGAAGTTTCGCCTCGAGCGCAATATTTGCTTGCTACGACCCTGATAACGATATCGTCGTTACCCTTGCCGCCGTAGTGAAACGTGCCTGTGTCGTTACGCAACACGATGCACCGGGAAATATAAGTGATAAGTGAGTAATAAATATAAGTGAGAGTTTAGTTTTTTTAATTATTTTTTCGACGCAACATTGATTCTACCGCTTGGACAACCGACCGTTTGACCGTCCGTGTACGACAACGTTTCGGCGACACGATTCGCGACCGATAACTATTTATTTTCCTCTCGTATAAACCGTGGGAGAAGGAGCGACAGGTAGCGAAAACGCCGGAGTGAAAACACGTTACAAAACATTCTTACGACGGTTATTGCATTATTTATTAATTTTTTTCGCATTACCTTAGTTGGGACAGCTCTTGTAGTTTCGCTCGTCTCTCGGACTGTATGCCGAATAGCTGTTCTTCCAACGCCTCCAGTCTCTTGTACAGCCCACGACAGTTTTTGCATTGGTTTTCAGCTAAACACAACCGCTCTTCCATTCTGCACACCTGTTATGAACAAACGACCGGGTGTTAGGTTCACATCATACAACTATCGTATCGAAACGGAATGTTCGATATTGACGTTTATTTCGTCGCTTTCGCCTTCACGTTTTCCGGCGTTCTACATCAGTCGCAAACTGTGGTCCGTTTCGACGTTCCACACCATTATCGTTTCGCGTTTAGTTTTTCGATAGATTTTCACGCGTCACGTTATGGCGGTCCGCGTATTCGTAGCAGCGTTCGGAAAACATTTCGAAATCAATTTTGAATTCGGGAATGCGAAACACGCTCATGGAGTGGAAATACATAATAATTGATTAAAGTGCCCCTTCCGCCTAGAAATACGCATCGGAACATAATTATACCGATGGTTTTTTTTTTTTTTACATTTTCAAATCGTATGAGGCACTGTAAACTGTTGATCGATCATTTAAAATCTGTTTAACGTGATGTTTTCGCCAATCAAAACGTTTCAAACGCACGTAACTGTAGTAGACCGGAATCGAATTGAAATATTGAAATATTAATTTTAAATTCGTTGTTTTTCAACAATTATTTCCCACGCCACCGCGCGTTACCCACGGATAATATGCCGGATCAATAATTTCCGTTATGGAACATCGGCGATAGGCAACTAAATGTACGCGAGTGTTTGCATGCCACGTGTTCACTGCGTTCGCACATGTTTACGGCACAATATTACAACGATGACTTTTAAACCTTTGGTCCACGCGAGTACGCGATAACGGATTTCATTACGTATTTTTTATTTTTTTGTTTCGAGATCGGCCTGAGAGATTTATGAGGAAAACGGCAACACAGTTTCCGTTTGCCGCGTAACTCAACATATTGTACTAGTGATAAACGTCGGAACTCATCGCTAATTATCGTACCACGCACGGACGGTGTACGCGAACTTTGACAAAAACGTCTCGGGTTAATCTCCTCAGAGCTGATCCTTTTAAGTTGACGCAGAGACGTTTAAGTTAAAACATAGTCGAGCGGATCACGAAGACCTTGGACCGTCGCGTTCAGTAAACCATCGTAATCGGTTTGACTCGTATGTGCCTCTATCTCTGAACTCAGTGCTTCTCAAACTTTTTCGACTCACGGCCCCCTTTTTGATCTAAAGTTTTTCAGGGCGCCCTTCCCCAAGTCATAGCATAATTAATCAAAAGGAACATTTTTGACCAGATAGTATTTCATGACGGCCCGGCGCCCATGTACAGACGTCGTGGAGCACACTTTGGAAACCGAAAGGTTTAAGGCTTAACTCATCAATGTAAATTATTGTGCGTCCGATATCTGCACGTGTGGATTTCGCCGTATTTTTAACGACATTTTGATCGTATCGGAAACGATCGTGTTCTGATGCAACTGTTGTTTTGACTGACAGTCGAAAAACTACTTTAAGGAAAACACTCCGGACGATGGGTGCGATCTATAACTGTACTGTCAGCAATAATTACAATGAAAATACCCCTAAGTAATTGGATGAAAATATGCAAATATTACTTGATTATTGCCAGCGGAAAACGTTTATAACGATATACTAGATAAGATGATAGATCTTTTTTGTTTTTTTACCGGTCCTTCAACGGAGGTAACAAACGTTTTCCACCGCACGCGTATGTAGTCATGGCGTAAATACCTGATCCTGGATGTCCTTCCGTTTGATTTGCTCTTGGAACAGGTCTTCCTCGCGCTCCGATATAATCGTCACGCTTTCTTTCAGCGCTTCCTGTAGCTCTTCGATGTGATCGTTCTTCATCTGTATTACCTCCAGCAGTTCTTCCAGTTCCTCGGCGAACTTGCTTTCCAGCTCGCTCTTGGTGTGACCACCGTTGGCCAGTACCGTGCCGACGTCTTCGGATTGGTCTACATTCTACGGGGACGGATGTACGGGGATCGGAGAGTAATAACAACAAATAAATATAGAAAAAACAAAACAAAAAATAATGGTAACTGCTACAAAAATAATAACTAATATAGTTCAACAGCTGGCCCTTCTTCTAAGAAAAAGAAACGATTAACCGTATTATAACACTTCCTTTCCCTTGGAATCGATAAATATTTACAATATTGTATATAATAAAGTAAGTATGAAATTAGCTTAATATAATCGCTGTGTCGCGAATTTAACGAGGTAATTTATGTATGTACAATTTTAGTGATTAAAAAATAAAAACAAAATACACGCTCAAGTAAAAAACCACTTAGAAAATAAAAGTAATAAAAAGAAAGAAACGAAATCAATGTTAATCGATAATAGAAAATGAGTAAACGAGTGTTTTCAAACTTAACTAAATTGTGACAGCACAAACGGTTTTTTTTTTTTTTTAGTAATTGGAATAAGTCTTATAAAGAGATATGATTTAAGTAAAAAATAAAAACAAATTAAAAATATAATCATTTGTTTTAATTGGTTTATTGGAATAGTCCTTTCAAAAAGGTTGCTGGGCCAGGCTGTGTACGTTGTGAAATAAAAAATAAAAAAATAAATGAATAAATAAATAATAAAATGATAAAATGGTGGAAAGTAATGCGATGGATAAATGTAAAGAACAAGGAAAAGGTAAGTTAATAGTTTTGGTTAGTACGATGTTCATCGTATAATTACATTATTTATTCAAGACGGGAAAATGACGCCATTAAAAACTTTTGAAAGTTAACGTATGCAAATTTTACTACGGAGCATATTAGAAATTATATCATCTGGTTTGGTGACATTTAATATAAGAACAACATTTTTAACAGTATTTCACTGAATAATATTGTCGTCTCATCGTAAACCGTTAAAAATGATATAGTATTGAAATATTAATTTCTTGAAATCAATTATAATTACTTGTACTTACTAAAAAGTGAAAATTCGCTTTGATTTCTCACAAAAATATGAATTTCGACCATAACATTATTGATTTTTATAATTGTATAATACTGCGTACAAACTGTTTATTCATGTGTGGAAAACGGTTTATTGAAATTAATAAATATTGTGATAAAAATATATTAAACTTTAAACGAATTTTAAGAGTAATAATAACGTAAAAATACGAAAAAAGTGAATAGTTTAATTCATTATACATTTCAATAATGCATAAAAATATACCTTCGTTAGATTTACATAGTTATTACGTAGATATCGCATTGACAAGATGATTGAACTTGAAATGTATGAAATTTTTCAATTTTCGTAAACTGGTGATTCGAAAGTTTTTTAACACGCAATGCAAACGTGTAGTTTTATACTTGGATATGAGTTGGTTTTTTGTTAGTGAAAATTGGTTCGTTAATATAATGACATCGTTTTCGCCGTGGGATTATTGGACGTTTACCTCTTCGTCTTTTTTCGGCTGTCTCGAAGGATGTTGTTGCTGTTGCTGTTGAGACGATGGGTGTGGCCCTCTCATCTTGGCTTGTGCGTTCTTCAACGCCCTAAAAAAGTTTCGGATAAAATATGCGAGAAGCAAAAAAAAAGAAAAGAAAAAAAGAATCTTTGAAAACAATCGCATCTATACACTCACTCTTGTAGCTCTCTGATTTGTTTTTCTTTCGCGTTCTGCTCTTCCTGGCCCATTTGTACGACCTGCAGCAGCCGTTCCATGTCTGTCTGCGACCTACTCGCTTCTTCCTTAGATTTCTCCAACTCCTTTTGCAAACTCTCGATTTGACTCTGCAGCTTTTTTATCACGTCACTGTCGCCAGCTTGCGATTTTCCCTGAAATGGTTCAACCAGTTTGTGTGAAAACTACGTTCGTCGTGCATCGAACGCAACATCCGTACCTTGTTTATTTGCGATTCTAACAGATCCAAGTTTTCTTTCCGCTTCTTCAACTTGGCGTCCAGTTCCGCCACATGTTTTTCTTTTTCTTCCAACTGCCTCGACCGGCCGTCGACGCTTTTTCTTAGCTCTTCCAGCTGCCGTCGTTGGGCCTCCAACTGTCTCTTTTGCTCTTCTAGTTGCGCTTTTAACGAGCTCGTCTCTTCGTTGAGTTTTGACGAGGCCACTTGTGCTTTCTTCTGGGCATCTTGGAGTTCCAGCTGATTAGGCATACAAACAGAAAAAAAGTTAGATAACGTGCTTACACAACAAAAATATTTGTACTACAATACGTTTTACGAGCCGTAGGACTGAAATGACGAAAAATAATAATAAAAAAAAATTAAAAAAACAAAAAACAAAAAATAATTATTTATATTACAAAATAAATAATATCAAAAGAACAATAACTAAATAATATAATATCTGAGAGCAATTAATATTGGTAATAATATCCTTATAAAGCAGAAGGCCAACCTGCTTCTTCTCTAGTTCGTTTCGGATCTGTTGGTTTTGATGCGAAATCTTGTCTTTTTCTAGCGCGAGGTTTTTAAGTTCGCTCTGGGTATGGTCCAGTTCATCCAAAAGTTTCCTCACGTCTTCCTTCAAAGCGTTGTCATTGGATGTCGCAGACACCTGCAATTGCTTCTCCAACGTGGAAATTTTAGACGTCAATTCGTCCGTCTTGCGTTTGTTCTCTATCTGGACGGCTTGCAGTTGTTTCTTAAGATCGTTCACAGTAGCTTCTTTGATGTTAATTTGTTGCTGCGCCGATTGTAGTTTCTTTTGCAGCTCCTCGGTCACCATTCGTTGTGCGTCCAATGATTTCTGCAGGTTACCTCTTTCGCTGTCCACGCCCTGGTTACGCTCCCTCAACGCTGATTGCATCTGCTGTATTGTTTGTTGTAGCGTTTTCGCTTCTTGCTCTTTGACCGCCAAACTCTGTCTACAGGCGTCCAATTCTTTGTCTTTCGTTCTAATGAGGTCTCTTAGACGGGCGGAGTCTTGTTCGACGTTTTGCTTCGTGTTCATGTCTTGGTTTCTCAGATCGGCCTTCAACCGTTTAACCTCGTCCTTTTCCAGTTCCAAACTCCTCTCAGACGCTTGCAGCTTATCTTGGCATTGTAACAACACCGATTGCGATTTTTTCAGCATATTTATCAACTCATCTCGCTCCGATGTTACTTTTTTTAGGTCTGCATCAAGTTTGGACATTTGTCTTTGCGATTCTTCCAATCGTCTTTCGCTGTTTTTCAACTGTTTCAACAGCTCTTCTCTTTCCGTTAATATGACACTCGAACTGTCCAATCGGGATTTCCACTCTTGCAACTGTTTTTCCTTTATCTCGAGTTTTTCTTTGAGAATTTCTTTTTCTCGTAATGTTTGGTTCAGGTCTTGTTGCACCTTAACGATGTTTTCTTTAACATAAAGCTCAGAGTTCGATTGAGACATTTGATGTTGTTCCAGTGCTCGTTTGACTTGATGGAGTTCAGTTTCTAATTTTAATTTCTCCTCGGAAATCCTATGACATTTTGCTTGGCTCTGCTCAAGACGGTCTCTCAAGCGATCTTCAGACATGGTGCGGTCAAAATCTCCAAAGTCTTTGCAAGTACTTTGTGACCGGCCTAACACTGGTTTGTCTCTCATAAACCGATCGTAATCTCTTTCTGGTTTAAATTGCAACAACTCGGCTTCTACACGAACCAAATCAGTTTTCAATTTTTCGTTTTCCTTCTTCAACTTATCCACATCCATCTGGGTTCTATAAAGCTCCATTTCAGTTTTTTCGTGAGACTGTTTTGTTTTCGCGTAACGATCCTTCGTCCTTTCCAAGTCGAAACTATTTTGCTCGCCGACCGTAGCGATCTCGGTCCTTAATTTATCATTATCTGTAACTAATTTGTCACATTTCATTTGTAACTTTTCGTAATCTATTACAAGTTTTTCGTTTTCTTTTTTAAATTTAGCATATTCTGATTTACTCTTTTCTAGTTCCGTATTTATATCGTGCATTTTGTCTTCTAATTTTTTACACGTTAATTGTAATTTCTCTGATTTCTCCATTTCTTGAGTGTATTTATTTTTAAATAATTCTAGTTCTTCTTTTATCCTCTCTTGTTGCCGTACTGAATATCTTTCGGCTTCTTCTCTAAATGACGATGCTTGCGATTTGTATAACTCGACATCCGATTGTGATTTCTTGTATTCTATCATTAATTTGTTATATTTTTCCGACATTTTTTCCAGTTCAATCGAAAGTTTATTTACATCTTTCTGTTGGTCTTCAAGCAGCACTTGAGTCTTGGACACTTGGGAATGAGCTCTTTCCATTTCATACGCATTGTTCATGGCTTCAGTCTGTAGTTTATCTCTTTCTGCAGATAATCTCCTGACGTCCATTTGCAATTTATCGCATCGTTCTTTCATTAGGTCTAAATTGTCCATAAGGTGTTCTTTTTCGTCCTTGAACTTATCTTCTATGTCCTTAGTTCTTTCTAGCTGTATTACTAATCTATCATATGATTCTTGTAACTCTTGGATTTCGGATTTAGATTTTCTTTGATCATCTCGAGCTTTCATGGCATGTAATTGTAATTTTTCCATCTCTAGCTTAACATCATCTCTTTCATTTTCGACGATTTCTAAGGATTTCTTCACTTGGTATAGTTCATTTTGCACCCTGATAAAATAAAATATGAATAAGATTGTGAAAATCTTTAAATTATTACAGATAAATATTGTTCAAACGTTACCGGTCGTATTTCTCCATAACTCTATCTAGTTCATCTTTAGCACTGTTTTTATCTTGTATGGCTTCATACATTGCTTTTTGACATTTTTCTATTTTATCTTTTTGTAAATCAAGTTCGTTTATAGCATCTTCTTTCTCAAGCTGTAAAACACGAAGTTGAATGATATTAAATGGTTTTGAAACTAATATAAAGTAGTATAAATATAAATGTATTATTAGTTTTCAAATTTATGAATAAAAGTTAATCAAACAGAATTAACTTTACAAAAACCCACTATGTTTGAAGTTAGAAATAGTATATATATTTAACCAACAATTTTGTCAGATTTAATTTGAAATATTTTTTACCTGAGTTTTTTTTAACATTGATTGTGTTTTCTCGTATCTCTCTTCGGTAAGATCAAGTTCAGCTTGAATTTTTTCTTTTTCTCTCTGGTATTTCATTATCTGAGAATGGAATAGATCAGCATCATTTTTGTTTTTCTCTTTGTCATCTAACAATTGATTTTTCTCTTTTTGCAATCTGGCTACCATCGACTAAACATTATGATAAAAAAAAAAATGAATAAATTATCACAATGATAGAGTTATTAATTTACTATAATTGTTTACTTGACTGATTTCGTATTTAGCTTTTAAATTCTCGTATTCTATTTGAATTGCTTCTTTGTCTTTTTGTAAACGTGCAGCCTGTCCGAGTGCTTTGTCCAACTGTGTTTGTACATTGGTGAGTTCAAACGTGTTTTGTTCTTTTTCAATATGGTACTATATGTAAGATTTATATGAATAAACAGGTATAATATACGTATTAAAAATAAAATGTTTACTCGAATAGCCTTATATTACCTTTCTGAGTTCACTGGTAACTTTGTTTAATGTATCTTGCACTCGATCGGTTTCCCTTTGTGCATCGTCCAACGCCATTTGTAATTTTTCCTGTTGGAGTTGCGCTTTGCCTAGTGTACTCTGCGATCGTTCCAATTCTTCTTTGGTCTTTTCTAACTCGACTAGTGCCTTTTCTCTTTCGGCGAGAATCCTAGTTACACTGGATTGATTTCGGTCGTACTCGTCCTTGACGTTATTGATCTCGCCTTGGGATTTTTCCAATTTCGTTACCAACCGGTATATCTCGCCTTGAGAACTTTCGTGTTTTTCCTGTAACGCTTTGATCTCGCCCAGCAGCTTGTCGTTGTCGGCACGAGCGATGCGGAGATCTGCTTGTGCTGTTCTCAAATCGTTAAGCGCTTTGTCCGCCCTATCTTGCACTCTGTCCATCTCTTGAGACTTGGTCAACGTGCTCCGACCGAACGTCGTTTGCGATAATTCCAAATCTTGCCGTAGCTGAGCGTTTTCAAGTTCCAATCGAGCAAACTTTTGTCTTGTGTACTCCCAATCCGCACCACTCCTGTTCACCTCACTCGACGCCTTCTCTAACTCTGCCTTTGATTTTCCAAGTTCACTTTGTGATTGTTCCAGTCGTTCTTCTAGACGATTTTTCTCACTATTCGCTCTATTCAGTCGAGTATGGAGCTTTTCCACCTCGCTTTCTAGAGCATGGAGTTTTAATTTGAAATCGGCAATATCCCTCTCGTGTAAGTCTCTTTCTTCCTGTCTATCTTGCTCGGCTCTGTCCCTTTGTTCTCGCAATTGATTCATTTGTTTCTCTTTGTCACCGATCGCCTCTTCTAAACTTGTAACTGCGCCTTCGGACGAACACTGATGTGCTTGAAGTGACGCTAGTCTCGTTCTAGCCATTTCCACTTGGTTGTCCTTTTCTTTCAATAAATCCTCCAAATTTTCAATCTACGATTTCAAACACAAAATAAATATTAGTTCGGGTAACAGTAATTTTACGTTATAAAAACAAATCTACTTACAAAAAATACTGGCTAAGAGAATAAGCCGAACAAAATAAATGTGTGCACTATACTGTATAATAAAAGAAACTAATACTATAATTTTAATACACACAAACAAATATAAATAATAAAAAAAACATCATAAACGCAAGACCAATAAATAACGTGAAAAAAGAAAATAATTATAATTATAATACAAAAAAAAAAGATAGCAATTTTTTTCTCGCGAAACAGTCACTAAATACAAATTATACTACAAACTGAATAATTATTTTTAACATAAAATCATACTACTAAATAAAAATGAATAAATAATTAATGATACGCGTAGTTATACATACTTTTCTTTGCAAAACATTAATTTTCCGGTCTTTAATATCCACGTGATCCTTGAGCTCATTAATTTCACTTGTCACTCTATTTTTTTCCTGATTAGCTTGCAAGGCAGTTTGCGTCTTCTTCTCAATTATACGATTTTTTTCTTCTAGTCGCGAACGCAATTCTTCAACCTGTAAATGTTTTGTAAAATACAACAATATGATAAAGGCAGAAAAACGGAAAAACCATTGTGTCCAAACTTCGGAACGCACAAAAAGAACATTATTCACGATGAGCAGGATCGTGATGAGAATAGATAATTTAGTTTTATTCCCTATCCTATGAACACTATGTGTTTAAGATTATACTATAAAACGACTTTAGTATTGCTTGTGTCGTAGGTAACGTAATGTAGTGTTTTAATTTTAATGATAAAATACATTTTGCACAGTGCTTATAAATTGAACGTAAAATAAGTAGAGGTAGAAAAATATAAATATATAAACAATAAACATGCATATAAACAAAAAAATTAAATCGTTAAAAATTCAGATGAAATGAAAATTTAACTCGTGACAAGTTTGAAAATATGCAAGACATTAAATTCGTCACAAGACGTTTTTATTGTAAAATAATTAATAAATTATCGACATTTTATTTTTCGCGTTATTGCGTTGATGTATTTCCTCTTGCTCGTTTATTGAGAAACGAATGGGAATGATTTTAAATCGCATCTACCGTACGTATTTTTCGAAAATATTACTGTTACTTATCGAAAATATCTATTAAACGTTTAGGAGTACAGTGCGTGAGGTCTGTAGAAGAGAAATAGTTATCATTATCTTTTGAATTTTAGAAGTGACCACACACGCGCATATTAGCAAACGCTTTTCTGTCGTATCGAAAAACAATCGATCACAATTGATTCGTAGCGAAATCGTATTTGACTACGGAATGTTATGAAAATTTTATTTATACGGATATACCCAAATAGTGCACCGAGTTATAGCACTTGTAATACAAACGTATCGCCTCGAATATCAATGCGTTTATCAGAAATATTATGTCTTGATTATTAAATTGAAATAAATAGCAAGTGAAAACAATGGGTTATTGTTTGAAAGTTTAAAGCCGGTTTGGCTTTGTCCTTATTACGCGACAGTATTATTGTGTACGCCAAAAACTTTCGAGCTAAGTATATAGTTTTTTAAAACAGTGAACGCGAGAAGGAAAACGTTAAACGAATAAGATATCGCGACGAGAATATCTTGATAACAATAACATTATCGTGTTGAACAGAAACCGCTTTGGTCATACGTAAGACGTGACGTTACGTGTAGTTTTAGATGCCTAATCCGGTTTCCCTAGTGAAATAAATATATTTTTTTTTCTCCTAATCTTTTATTTTTCGTTTTTTCCGCTCGTCCGGTGAACACACATGATATCTTAATGCGCTACAATTCGGTCGAGAGGTCATCGAAATGAGTAATTGATTGTTTTACACTTACGTCCGCTTGTAACATCGTGTAATGTTCTTCCTTTGCGCTCAACGACTCTTTCAGCACCCCGATGTGCCTCTGGTAGTCGGTGTGCTGTTCTTCCAAGGTTTTCATCTTGGCGCTCATGGCCACAATCTCTTGGTCACGCCTTTGGATTTCCGACCGGAACTCTTCTAACTGTACACGATACCAATATCACATTATGCAACTTTACCCCGGGCTGTCATATCCTCTCAATGTCACTCATTAAGTAACGCATTGGATAATCGTAATTTTTTTTTTTTTTTTTTTTAATATTATTATTGTTAGCTTTAGTACACACCGTTAAATAAATATAATTATATTATTATTTTATTGTATGACAAAACACAAAGAAGTTACGTTGATATATAATACGTGAAAACCGATGAGAATGAAGTGTACCGATGCACTGATGGCCATGCATGGTTGCGCTAAAGGGGAAAAAATGATGAAAATGTGTACGGCCGGTCGTATGTGAACACAACAATGGTATTGCGTTTTGCATTGGGGTTATCTATAACATGCCTTTCGATAGCGATGCGAGCAACGTGAACATTGTACTTTGACGAGATAAATGTATGTTTTTATTTTTTTCCCGAGAAACGGATTTATAAACATTGTACATCACGTTTACGGTTTTCCATTAGATGATTATAAATCCGTTAGCATTTGTATTGTCTTTTTTTTTCAATCTCGCGTAGAACGTCGGCTCGTACTCTAAGTACAGTGTTACAGACACGTGTATTTCATCGGGTTTCGGGAATCGCGTCAAAGGCAATGAAATAGGTGATCATTAGTGCTTATCGTCCAGACGATGTGCATGCAGTTCAAATCGTGATGCGATATAATTTACGAAGTACACGACGAGTTAAATGCTCTCGCGTGTACACTCTCGATAACTCCGGTTAGTTGCTGTCGAAGTATATACGAAGTATTCGCTATAGCAAGGAGTCAAAACGGGTGGCAACCTGGTTTTGAAACCGTGTGCGCTCTGAAAAATTTCGAAACCCGGTAAGAACCGAAATCAGAAATCTGAGAAATACGTAAATCAAGTGTTTTTTCCAAACCTGAAACCCGTAGAATAATCCACACCGTTTCAACTCAAAACCGGTGTTCAAGTTCGTTCAAATGTTTAACAATTTGCAATCGTGATCAAATTTGAAATAAATAAATTTTAGCTTCGTTTATATCTGTGGTATATCTTTAAACTTTTGTTTTCGGGGAACGGATGAAACTGAAGTGTGTATTTTTAATTCGGATCCGTTTAAATCGTTATAACTTATAACTTGTACGACTACTGTTAATAGTCATTAGTCATCTCGAAAAACAAAATTTATGGTACATTTCTGTATATATTATTAACAATCGTTACTGTTTTCATATGTGATTTTATTATTCAACATTAATTTGTGTCCTTTTTTATTGTCTTTACTCTCAACCGTCTAATCGTCCAACTAAATTTGATAGATACCATTAATAAGTCACTTGCTTAAGTGTTTTCCGTTAGTTTATCTAAAACTGTTACCGTACACATTTTATTAGAAAATCCTAATTATATCCTTTAACCGAAACCCGGAAAACGTAAGACTCGATTTTAAACCGAGAAAACAAAATTCTGTTTTAACGGGTTAACCGGTACCCAGGAAAATCAACCAATTTTGACTATGGATTATCGATAATATAATGAATTTTAATACTGCTGGTTATAATTGAAAATGAAATTAACAGTATATTTTCTAGGAATTTGTTGGAAAATATTTGTCTGGATATGAAATTAATAAAACACGCGAATCTCGAATTAATAAATTAACGTTATATAATGATTCAAATGGCAAACCGACGAGGACACAAGATGAATATTAAAAAGTTATACATTTTTAAGGTATATCTTTGTGTATTTAAATCTATCCGGGATTTGTTATTTAGTTCCTCCCCCACATAAAAAAAATGATATATTCACGTCCAGTACGCACGCATGCGCATGTATGTCCACTGCAATAGTGTTACAACTGTATTTTTAAAATTTTTTTTAACATTATAATTACATTATTATTACACGGGGTTATTACCCTTACCTTACAGGCGACGAGGACGGTGTATTATAGTTAGCACGTCAATACAACAGCTATAACGATCAAACAAGCCAACAATCTAAATCTACTTGTGCTGTACGAATACGTAATATTATCGCAGTCCAGTCTGTTTCGTAGTAAAAGTCACCTATCCCACTCGTAGCGCAATATTATTATACCATTACTACACAGCAATCCACCGCCGTATAGCAACAATAAAAATAATAAAACATATGTATTGTCGTACCGTCGTAAAATAAATATAGGTAACAAACTCATCTAATATGTAACACACATACACACGTACGCTGTACACCGAACAAGGTTGCACGTAATCGACCGCTGTCGGGATGGAGAGATGATCGTTTTCGCCCAAAAAGCATTCAAGGGGCATTTTTTGAATGAAAGAGAAATAATAATAATAAATAAAAAGAAAAACAAGATAAAAACCAACAAATAAAAAGAAAGAAGACAGAGAAAGTAGAAACGAACGCATACACTATGATATTATTATTATAATAACGTCAAGATCACGACAACGAGAACAACAATAACAGTAGCAACGACGTGCGTTGTTAACATCAGGGCTAGGATCATATTGAGTACGCTGATTATTATAGGATACTGATAAAAGCAGTAGAGAAGGTTATATATTTGAATATAACGAGATAATAATCGATAATAATAAAATAATAATCCATAATCGTAAACACAATATTTTGCATTTATCAAGTTTTTGTGGCGTTTTATACGTACATGCATGTGATTTATTTTGTGTTTTTCATAAACTTTGCGATTTAAATGAAAATTGCAAGGAACATTTTTGTCTGCAATAGAATAGTAGGTATCTATAATTTATTAATCTGTAAATAATTATTTAAGAAATTTAAAATTTTAAGTTGTTAACGGAGGATAATAATTTAAATGAATTAAAATGAAATTTTTTTTCATGTTTTTAAGGCATATTATAATGCTTCTCTTTGAATTTAAACAATCATAAAACGTCGCATATTTCAGCACTCATTTATGCTATTAAATCCGAGCCCTGGTTATCATTGTTATCGTGTGGATGAACGCCGATATAGATGGAGAAAAGTGCATGACACATGAACATGGTGAAAAACAAGCGGGGATCAAGAGATGTCTTCCGCCAAGGTCGCATGCGGTCAGCGTGTCCGACGATGGGCTACTCACTTGATGCTTGAACGCTGGAGCCGCCGCGAACTGGACGCTTCTGTCTAGCGCATGGCCTGGTGACCCGGCGTACAGTCGCATCCTATCCAGCTCCTGCTCCAGGAGACCGACCTCCTTTTCCAGCGTCGCTATGCGAGCGTCCTTTGTCTCCAGGATGGCGGTCAGTGTGCCACTGGAAGCCACCCCCACGTTTTGGGTCTGGTATGCTTTTTCTAATTCCATTTGCAGTGCTTTTAGATTGTCATTGGTGGTCTTAAGGTCCTGTGTTGTCCAATTATAAACAACAACAAAAAAAAAACACAAAATGGTTTCACAAAAGTGGGCTTTGTGTCAGAGAACATAGATTCGTAGTAGTTACTATTTATAGTAATATTAGTAGTAGTAGTGATGGCGGTGGTAGTATATGTAGTAGTAGTAGTAGTAGTAGTAGTAGTAGTAATAAATGTAATATTAGTAATAGTAGTAGTTTTGGTTGTTTGTAGTAGTAAAAGTATGATAATAACAGTGACCCGCCCGCCCATTAACGTCCTGTCGATCGTAGATTAATTAGTCCACGGGTGCTCATGCAAGTCCTCGGACTGTCAGATGGAAAAAGACCACCACCGAAAGGACGTTTTATCTATATATGTATATATCTTAGTTAAACGTATATTATGTCAATATACTCGTAATTATGTGTAATTGAATAATAATATGAACATGATAATATGTAAATCGTGATAGGTGACTGGTATCGAGAACAGGAGCCCATTACGAAACACGGTCAGGCATGCAAAATATATCGAGGAATCGATTAATTAGATTTTACAACAAAAATAAAATTAAAAGAGAGGTATTTTTTTTTTAAAACAACCACTTTTTTCAAAAATGCTCCGTAGTACGTACGGAACTTTTTATATCTTGCAATGTGTGTCTATGTGAATGTATGCGTGCGTGCGTGTGTGTGTGTGTGTGTGTGTGTGTATATGTATGTGTGTGTCTGTGTATTTGTTGTGTGTGTGTGAGTGTGTGGGTACTCACGCGCTTCGTACTGTTGAGTTCCTGATCCCGATTCCTGATAACAGACTGGAAGTGGTGGACAAGGTTTTCATTCTCTAACAGTCGTGCCTCTAAGTCAACTTGACGGGCCTCTAATTCAATCGCCTCTACCACTTTACCACCTACAAACATCCAAAGCAATTACATATAAAGCCATCAAATTACACTCTATAAAAAGAAAAAAAAAAGAAAATTGTTTAAAAAAAAAACATAAAAATTAAAAATAAACAAAAAAATAATAAATAATAATAACAAATCGCTACTTTTTTGGTCGGTTTATTGTTTTAATAAGGGGGGGGATGGATCAAAAAATTTCAAAAATAAAATATAAAAATAATTATAAAATGCGTTTATGTATAGTGCGAATCTACTACGAGTTCTTGGGCTGGTAACTCTAAATGTTATTGATAACATGTCATATCAAGATAAGGTATTTTATTCTTTTGGTTTTCTCGAGATAAGTGAAGCAGGAGAGACGAGACATTAAGACGCAAAACACCAAAGCGCAGTTCTTTGGGGAAAAACGTAAGGTGCGCGCGCGCGCGTGTGTGTGTGTATGTGTGTATGTGTCTGTGTTTGTCTATATGAGTGTATGTATATTTCCATTTTTTTTTTTGTCTATTGTTATGTATTATTTTATATAAATTAATCGTCTTATACCATACATTCATTAAACCGATTCAGTGCGTTAGACCTTGAAGGCCTAATAACTTGTCCCGTCTTAGTCTCATCGTGTAAATTAAACAATTAAGGAAAAGTGTGATTAGGTATGTATGCTACGTACCTACATGATATCTGAATAGAAAAAAAACCATATTAGAGTTGCCAACCGATCCGAACAAATCAACGCACAGCGAACATTACAACAATAACAACAAAAAAACAAATAAATAAAAAAACACAACTGCAGCAAGCTTGGTCAATATACGATTATTATCACTGTCAAAATATGTAATTTAAAAATAATAGGCATTTCTTGTGGTATTTTTATATGCTATAATTTTTTTTTTTTTTTTTGGAAGTAGTGCATATTTGTATGTTTTTGGTGTGCTTCAAAGAGAGAAAAAGAGAGAATATTTTTTATGAGAAGATACAACAAGGCAAAACACACTGAATTGGCTGTTAACTGTAAGTTCTGATTGCGAACGTTTGAAACGACCTGCTTTTGTGCCATCAACTGCATTTGCTGAAATAACTGTCTCTCCTCCTCCTTGCCTGCTAAAACAAACGCATCTTACATTTTGCCATTAAACGTTTTTATTTATTTTATTTGTTTTTTTTTCAAAACAAAAAAAAAAAAACAGTAAAAGGTATAAAGTGCTATTTTATGTGTTGTGTTATTATTATTACAATTTTTTCTTTTTTTTTTTCTTTTTTCTAGGCTTTGAGCCGTTTCGAATAAATATTTAAACTACACAATATATTTTATTAACACATAAATTTACTCACCGACGCCTTTGTTCTGGAGCATGTCCAAGAGCTTTTTAATGCTCTCGTCTCTAGACTGCAACGTTTGCTTTTGCGTCTCTATCCTGAGCTCTAATTCCTGTCGGTCGATATAAACATCACGTTATTGTTACGATTGTTGTCACCGACTCGATGAGAAATAAAAAAATATACGTTCTGTATTGTTTCCGTCATACAATTTACCTTTATAGTCTCTCTGAGGATGGCCACTTCTCGCGTTAAGTGATCGTTCTCGTTCAACAGCAATTCGACCTGCTGTTGCAACTCCATGTTTGGCCCTCGCATTCGCATTCTCAGCTCTTCTTCCAGCTGACGCACCAACATCGATTGTTTCTGAAACACAAATGAGTCGGAACGTTAAAATCAAAATATTATGACGTTTTCAGTAGATTTCATCAATATATTATATGTGTGTATACTGTAATCAAAACTATAGCGATACAAGCGGCGATGGAAAATATCGAAATGGTTTTATCTCGATAGTTTTTTTATCATTGAGATACGTAACTGCAGTAGTTAAATCAATAGCGACGTATTTTCGGGGGAGGGGTGAGCCGGTTCTCGACTACCCTTCTTCCAGAAGAAGTAAAATATTTAAAAATCATAAATGACAAGCTACGAAGGTATAAAGATAGAGAATATTAATTTATATCATGTATAATTATTAATTCATACCTTATACCTATTTTTTTATAATATTATAAAATCATTTATTTATTAGAAAAACTGTAACCCCCCTCACATCAAAAAGTTTGAAAATATGCAACTGCTAACCTACACAGATATTTAATGAAACCGATGAGCATAAATATCATCGAAGCATTTATCTCGTTAATTTTTTAAATGTATAACGATAAAATATTATAATTTGTTCAAAATGATTGTTGAAACATAAATTGTTCGCACACTTTTTCGCTTTTATAACGATTACTTGCCTTATTATTGACCTACGTAAAATTTAATTTATATTACGTATATCTAGGCGTTTTAATTTTATTTTGCTGTCCTGACCGTGCATATGAGCAATATCCACCAATTACCGTTTTATTTACACGTTACGTCTTGACGTTTTATTCGGTCAACAACAATTATTAGTAATCAAACGAACGATTACGATGCGTGTATCACCTTTTCATTCAACAAGATGATTAAAGGAACGGTAGAAAATTATTTTCTGTTTCGTTTGAACATAATCAGTTGAACGATATCCTTTACGTATTTGAGGATATATATGTATATATATATATTTTTTCCATCCAATCGCTTTTGAAATGGTAAACATAACAGTGTTGTCTCGACGAATGCTCATCAAAAACGATCGGCTGCTATTGATTTGAAAATGAAAATAAAATGGCTCCATCACTTATAATGCGATCCGGGTGCGGCCAATTGAAAAATATAACTCGATTTCAGATAATATACTCGACCTCGCATCAACTATTCGAACAGCTATAGACAGTGATTATTGTTCGATTATTAATGAATACCGTTTAGATCCATCGTTCTCGGGGTTCGACTTAGCGCGAACAATATTTCGAGTTGTTTGATTATTTTTTTTTCAGCTCACTTTTGAGTTACCATAATAATGTATTGTACTCGTATAATGTACAATGTGCGCATGTGTTTTTATCATGCGAGGTTCGTTGAAACGATTCGTAATATCGCGATCGTGTTCAAAGTGATAATACCAAGCACGGTTGATCGAACTTGGACGATAGATCATGAACAGAAAATAGAGGTTTAGCTCATCTCATATGGTTTGAAAATCAATGCGATAACTAATTCTGATTACTAAATAAATGATATGATTAGTAAATTGTTTCAGTGTTTTACGTAAAGAGAAGATAACTTTATGGGTATAAGACTATACAAAAAAAAAAAAAAAAATGTTATCGGTACAATTCAAGTATTAGCTAGAGAAGTCCGTGACTTAATACTTGTTGGGAACCACTGTTCTTCATCTGATTCTAATAAGTATACGTTGGACGCGGTCGAGTTGGGCATCGGAGAAGATATGACGCGCGTGTGAGAACTATTTCGGGGAGCGGATGCACTTTGCTAATTATTTATTATTCGCGGTATAGTACGAGTATACAGTACAGTCTGCGTGTGTAGAAGTATTAATTGTTTTCGTTTTTTTTCGCATTGTTAGCGTTTGACCGAGTTCAAGGAGATATTTTATGAATATTTCCTGTATCGTGAAATAATAATAGTTGCGGTTATGAAACACCAACGATACACTATACGTTATAAAATATTTACACATAGGTACTACTGCTGGGTAGTTTCTTAAACTCGTGTAAACTCATGTAAAAAAAACACATATAAACTGCACATATGCTATTGTAAAATTTACCCTTATAGATTGTATATTTTTTTTAAATAAATGTTAAAAAATAAAAAAAAAAACTTGTGCGCTTTATTAGATTTAAAACGCTCGCTGTAGCACCCGCTCTATTTCTCTCTATCTCTTTGTCCGAAATGCTTACTTTGTACATTTATTTCTCATCCTTTCTTTTATGTAATAATTTCAGAACATATGACGAACACCTCATCCATCTCTTACCCCCATGCTGTGGCGCTTTGTCGCAGTCGGTTTTAAAAGCAATGAAAAAGCGAATGGGAAAAATTACGAGCCATCGTGATTATGATACATCGGCGATACTCGAGATTTGATTACACATTGATAGGGTTCGGTTCGAGACGAAAGTACGATGATATTAGTCCACGAATTCGATCGGGTGGGTGGGAGAGGGGGAGACTTGAAAAGGCTAAGCCTTTTCAAAAATTGAGGAGTACTATACAATGTATTACTTTTATTGCGAATCGTATAATAAAATATGACGAACGTATTTTTTTATTTTTTTTCTAAACATTTTTCCTCGACTTCAATATTCAAAGGGATATCATATATTTCGTTATCCGTGTACGGTTTTTTTAAACTTATGTTCGGTTCAACTAAAACAGTTACATAGCTCCTCCAAGTCTGGTACTGAAATTGCACCTTTATTATCGTTATTGTTATTGTATTGTTTGTTGTACTCCGCGACTACTGCGGTCTCCTCCGCGGACGGTCGTACACGTATGCACGCACGTATTTACATTGCACTCGCCCGTCCGCAGTCGAAACGTAATTGCTTAATTATAACGTTGGCCCTTCCTTCAATATTTTCCCGTCTACGGGCGCGGCTGTTTAGACTACTCCTCTCTAGCACTCGGACTGGCATAATACTGTCGTACCACCACCACGGTCGTCCGTTTCGTTTTGGTGTACGTTCAAAATGTGACCACCGGACGGAAATTTTTGTTGCAATAACGAAACCGAACCGCGAAATTGTTGATCGTAGCGAGGACGGAAACGACACCGTCTGTATCGCGGTAAGATAACGATTTAAGTACGATTTGACAAACGTTTGCAATGGAAACAAACCGTTTTGGATTTACTTATTCTATCGACGCGACGAAAGAAATTTTCATTGAGATTTAATTGATCTGTTAAGCACGGTTTACGGAGATGTTTTTTATTCTAATAAAAAAAAAAAAATCTACTAATAAATCTCAATTGAAAGCAGAAATGTGAATATTTAAGACTTTTTTTCTGGTAAAAGTGATTAGTGTAGGAAACGGAATCAAATGTTCTAAATAGTGCTCTTAAAATTATTTTTGAAACACTGTAAAGATTTGTTATTATATAAATTCTTATTATTATTAATTATTCGTATAATTTTACCTTATATTTCATATGAATTATGACTAAATTATAATAAAATTGTATCCATTTCTCTATATAAAAATTACTAAAAACATAAAAATGCATCAATTATACTATAAAAAAAATTCAAAATAAACGTTACATTTTTTTAATTTCTTATATAACTTTTCGATCGGAAATCAATGCTTAAGAACATAAAAAAAAATTCAATTTTCATTAAAACCCGTTCTTTAGTGATAAGGAATCAATACAGGGTCGAATAAACATCCAAAATCGACTTGTAACGTCAATAATATTTAATTTCTCTATAATAAAAATTACGCGTACCACTGTGAGTATACAATATAGTATAGTTGTATATCGTGATTATTAACAATTATTGCGAAGTGAATTTATGCACCCGAAAACTGTCAAACTTATGACGATACCGTAGAAACTAAAAATGAGTTATGGACATCGGGACGGACGTATACCAGGTTTCTTGTTCTACAACCACTGTTTTACGATTGTTTGTGTGTGTAGACAAATATACATTTTTGACTACGCGCGTTTGTGTAATAAGGCTTGAGAACGTGCGGAGCCGAGTCTAAGTAATGCTGGAAATGGCGAGTGAGTGAGAGAGGAGAGCAAGGGAAAAATCTATACTACCGTTCTGAAGGAAGGAAACGTGACAACTCAAGTGGACGGTGGCGCGACTCGTGTACGGCATACGGTGCGCGAAATCCACAAACGCCCCAGTTTTGGATGGCATCGTGTTGAACGCGCTACGTTGTCGCTGCGAACGAATGAAAAACGAACGGAAATCCCTGCCGCAGCGAAACCTCGTGTTCGTACGGACGTGTGCCGAATCGTTACGAAACATTTTTAAAAAATTATTTTTTTAGTTCTATCGGTGTTTTATAAGAAAAATTAATATAATTAATTAATTTGTGAAAATCACTTACATGTATAATATAATAATATTGTCTATAGTTATTATATTACTTTATTTTATGGCCTATGTTGAGCGTTTTCGATTGTTTCAAAAATATAAATAACCACGCAATCATTTCCGCGATAATTATAGAAATCATTTTTAAGTCTCTTTACATATAATTGTATACATATAATAAAAAATTACAATTTTTTTTTATGTAGATATGTCACATAAAAAATAGGGGGAAGGGCAATGTTAAAATAATTATTTCGATGGAAATAATATTTTAGTAATTTCGACAACAGTCGCCGTTTCAGTGAAACTGACGCCCAATAGATTCAATCGTAACATGTAATGGTTTGGCTTGTTGGACGGAGGGAGCCGAGAGAATAAGCCGCGTATTATAGACGCTGTTGAAAATGGGTTCACGACAGTAATTTCCGTGCTACTACGCCATCGTTGGTCGCTGTACACCGTTATCTGTGTTTATCTACGAGTTCGAAGATAAAAAAGATCGTGGAATCAAATTAATTTATAAAAAAATGTTCCAATAAAAGGGTTTTTCTTGTTCGTTGTTGTATGAAGTTGTATGTTAAGTCTCCCCAGAATATTTGCTACGACCCGCTACTGGTGGCGGATGGGGTACAATGTCAAATTGTCAATCTCTTGCACGTATCCGAGCGGCGAACTCGATAAAATCGAATG